GACCACCATTATTGGTGATGAGTCACCCTGTCTTAATATCAGAAATAAATAAATAAATAAATATAAAAGGACACTGGTGTCGTGAGAGGGCGCATCGATCTAATTCGGTAAATGAAAAGGAAAATAGCAAGGGCGTCAAACAAGGGGTACACGGTCTTGTCATCTATTTTTCGTCTTTTCCTCCATCTTCCTTTCCTTATCTCTCACTTTCCCTTCTTTTTTTTCGCCATTCGAGAAATACTACACCTATAACCTACATCGATATAACAATGTGTATTTGCAATAATTGTTGCAGGAGGGAATCTCGGTAACGTCCTGATTCCTGACATTTTAGTATTTATTTGTATCTTATATTATATAGCAAATATCAGAATATCTGAGAACTTATTATCTGCTTCCTGGTTGATAAATCATGTCACTCTTTCTACAAACTGGAAACCTGTCAATAGAAGGACCCCCCCCCTCTCCACACACACACACACACACACACACCCCCACTGTCTCTCTCTCTCTCTCTCTCTCTCTCTTGCACATAAACACACAAACACACACACACTTTGGTTATGATGACTCCCTGTGTCCGGTTAACACAATTGATAAAAACTCGCCTCTTAATCTAACTTTTGACAAATCCAATCAAAGTTATACTCGTCTTTTCAACAATCGAAGCCCAGCCCCATTAAATTTGTTTTGATCACAAATGTCAGAAAGGTATATATGGACAAGATGGAAAATGCTTGGTTTTTCAAGTTTTCATCTCATCTTACGGAGAAATTATACAAACATCCTTAAAGGTTACCGAGAGGAAGGAAATAATAGTTTAGTAATCGGAGGCACGGAAGTGCAGCAGACTATTATAATGTTCATATACTTCAGTGCGTAAGCGAATCGGGTAAGTGCCAAGCGAGCCCCCCCCCCCCCCCATCCCCCCCCCCCCCCCCTCCAATTAGGTAAAATGGAAGCAATCCTTCTCAGGGGTAAAAATAGGTCATATACCCTCGCAGTCCCCCTCCATCACTGAGGGAACATGAAGAGAGCTGGCAGGATTCCATATATAACTTCTTCATCTCTTTATGAGATATCATTGTCCCCCCCCCCCCCCCTTTCGACAATAAATTTGGATGTTACCCCTGTGAAATTCAAAACATCGGTGTTTACAAATGACACAACATCGTCACAGTTGAAACTTTTGAAAATATATCAAAGCTGAAATTTAACCAATCATTAAAAGTTTGACGAGGGGGAATTTGGTACTCCCGCCAGAGAGTGTATGGTCGTCTTAATTTAATGTCTTTTGAATTGCTTGAAATATAAAATTATGTCAATGTTAAAGGGAAATCCATCCTTGATAGCAAACAACTGTATAAAAAAGCAAACAAATTAAAAAAGCAGATTGGTGAAAATCTGACAAAAAATGCGAAAAATGGGATTTTTTTTTAAAGCTGTAATAACTGTACGTAAGGGCACTTCAAACTGGCTGAATCGGTAATGTCACTGTGATATAATGCTGGACAACTTTCCCATTTGTTCCAAAATACAAACTTACTCGAATGTAATTTTGTATCAATATGTATGACTCGGGATGGACTTTTCCTTTTAGAGGACCTGTAGTATTTAATACATTTTGAGTAGTGCCCCAAGGGTTAGGGCACTTGGGAGAAAAACAGAAATAAGTGATATTTGTGTACACGGCAATCAGGAGAGTTATCCGCGACTACGTCACAATCCACTGACCAAATTGCCAAATAACGATCGTTAGTTGTCAAATCGAATTTAAGGATTGCAGTCGTTTAAGTAAATAGTCTGATTTTCAGACCCTTGTACCGAATGGTCGAACGTTTTGTGCTATTATCAATCAGTTTAATTTTGGCCATTACAAGAAGTGGGTTATTGATGTAGGAAAATGCTCATGTACCCTTTACAGCTCATTTTATGTCACACTGATAGTACATATTCCTAATTCCTGCAAAGTTCTACAGAATTTTATGTTTACTGCAAAAGGGACACGTATACACTACTTTTAAATTCTGCTCCAAAGCATACGAACAATCCAAAATTGGCATTAGAAAACCCTAGGAATTTTCACATTTATTTAGAAGGACACCCCTCTAAAAATTCATATATCTTTCTCTTAAAAAAAAAAATTCTGTTTAGACAAAAGCGAGCAATGTTATCATGCCCTATTATAACAACTTGACCTTGACCAAAACATTGTATTGTATTTTCATCATTTTCAGCGAAAATTTTTCGAACATTTACTTTTCGCATGGGACCACAATCATGATCAAAGACAGGAAAGCCCGTCTTGTTTGCTTGTTAACGGTGGTATGGATTTCTAATGGCAGTAGTCACCCGATGAAAATTCATGACAACTATTATCATTGAAAAATTATATATCGATGGAAGCATTTTCTCTTGAAAAACACGAATAATTAGTTAAAAATTCATATAGATATCATGGAAAGGCGTAAAATGCAATTTTGTGGCTAGCTGTGTCTCGCATGTGACGTCACGAATCTTGACGCTCTATACGGAGGACCGCTGAACAAAATCTGGATCTCAAAATTAACATTTTTGAGAAATGATTACTGCGGACAACAAACAATCTTTGAAGAGGGAATTTGTTATCTTTGATCAGTAAGGCACTACGGCTTCTCCTTCGCAATGATATAAATTTTGCATGAATTCAATTTATTCAAAACACTTTTGATTCTTCGGGTGACTACTTAAACAATTTCTTAAAACCGGTATAGCGTTGATTGTGAATGATGTAATAGTACAGGAGGAGAGAGAGAGAGAGAGAGAGAGAGAGAGAGAGATGGCACCATAATGCTGTAATCGGCCTCAATTGTAAAAATGAATTAGATTCACAACGGGATATTAAAGCGTTTTATAAACTGGTGGCATCATCGGTGGTAGTAATCACAGAGACACTCACAGAGAAGCAAATTAGAGAACATTTGAGCCCCAATGAATTGGGCATCGAAGGATGAATAAGCCTAATAGTTCCTCGTAAAGAAAGAAAATCAAAACAAATCAGGGACAAAATCAGAGTAACAGATTGGGGGAAGTTTACGAAATTAGATCATCATGATAATAAGGAAAGAGGTTTTGACCATTTTAGTAGTAGTACTGAGTCGTAGTAGTAAAGTATTTGTTTTCCGTATTAAGAAAACAACAACATGAAACATACAAAGCGAAACATTATAGGCCTATAAAATTATTATAAAGCATATAAATGGATATAATTTTATAGCCTTGCTCATTAATACTGCATGAAATCGATGGTTTTCAGAGCATATCATTCACGGGACCATCCCGCCCCCCTCCCCACTCAGTGGTAGGTACGCGTATGCTTGTTCCTTCTTTTTGAAAGCACCCCCTATCTGAGGACTGCCAACATTTCCAACCCCCCCCCCCTTTCGCGCGGCTTTTCGCGGGCTTTTCCTGCCTTGAAGACCCCCATGAATCCGGAAAAATGCTCAATGTACCCCCCTAAATTCAGAATAAGTTCTCAGGAGTCCACAAGGAGATAGGAGAAAAAAAAAAAAAACACCCCCTTTTTAAAAAAATCTCCGAGTGAAAAGTTAATACAGCCCCCCCCCCCCTTTTTTTTTTACAATTGTCGGGCCGGACTTTGTCGCACGAAAAGTACCCCTTTACCGGACATTTTGGTAACACGCATGGGGTCCGTCCGTTCTCGGAGTGGGGGGGGGGGGGGGGGGGGGGGGGGACCATACGGGAACGGGGAACGCCATTGTGATGTAGTAATATGTGATAATTTTATTATTTTCCCATTTTCTCAACAAAGACAATCAAGGAACCGAAACGCCACTCCCTTGTTGGTGCTCCTCTCTGGCTCAAACAAGAAAAGAAGAAATGGGCGGGGTGCATGAGCGAATGGGGAGGTCGGGAAAAGGAATAAATCAACTCAGTATGAAATTGGAGAGTATATTATACAAAAAGAGAAGGAAGAAAAAGAGGCCGGGAACAACTACAGGAGCAAAGGGAGAGGAGGGCAGAAAATGGAAGAAAGGAGAGAGAGAGAGAGAGAGAGAGAGAGAGAGGGGGGGGGGGGTGTGAGAGAGATAGATGACAATGCATACCCCCTCCCCCTTCTCTCTCTTTCTTTTGGGGCGCAAGTTGGGGGGGGGGGGGTACCAATACACTTTGACCCTGGTCATCATGATTGTCCATGGTAGTACCGGGTGGGGTCAGATGATTGGCGTTCTATTTGGCCACGAGTACAATGATACCACCTCCCTCCCATCTCCCTGCATTGACCTATAGGTCCATGGTGGTACACAGTTGAGTGTAGATTGCCCGGAGTTTAGCTTCGTGGTGAATTACTATTAGACGAACAATATGAACCCAAACACAGACGAAACACAAAACTATACACTTGTTTTTAAGTTTTCATGATACGTGACATTATAAACTAGTTCCACATGTACTTTATTTTTGTCGGTAGGTTTCCAAGAGAAAAGAGCAATGTGACAGGCTCGCAGTATGCATTATTTTGTGCATATTGTCCAAAACATAACAAATGAATGCAAGTTTTTATCAATGACTTCGTCTCTTTCGGACTAGTCTTTTCGGATAACTTTTTGCGCACTTTTTATGAATCGTGAGCCATAATCTACACATAACTATATGTTCCGGGCTGGACTCAAAACTAGCGCCACATGATCGTTTCTCGCCATTTTGTGTGCTGTGTAGGAACTAATGGCAGAAAGCTGCCTGCAGATCGGTCTTTCTGAGTGGGGCGAAGTCGTAAGACGTCCGACAAATTAAAGCTGTTTTCCAGGATTCTGTTCATTCCAGGATATTATCTTAGATATGGAGAAATTAGGAGACATTATATGGAGTGTATGCTGGATTTGTGAGGCGTTAGTGGTAAGGTGAAGTACGAATTTAAGAGGTAAAACAGAGATCGACCGCAGACGCTTGTTAGCTTCACCGGCCGATAACTAGACGTGTGTAGTGTGCATGCACTGTAGCATGCACAATATCGTCAGTGCTGTAGAAGTAGGTGTATTGTGCTTAGCGCAATGGCGAATCCAGAAGTAGGTGGTGTGAATAGAACTATAGAAGACGGCAATGCAGTCGTAAACTCTGGATCAGGGGCTAATAAACAAGATCCAGATCCAACGTCAGACACAGAGCAGAATGTTAATGTGGATATGACTAACCAGAGATCAGGCAGTAAAAAGAAAGCCTGTTTTCAAATCACAAGTGTGAGCAAGAGAAACGATACAGAGAATGACCAAGATGGGAATATGGATGACCCAGACAGTAATGATGAACTAGATGAGAGTCGAGCAGATGAATTCTCATCTTCAGAACTTGTAGATTCTTTCAATGTATCCAAAAATAGTATACACGATGTAGACCCATCGGTAGACGATGGCGGTAACTCTAAAAGTAAAACGAACAGTGCTGTATCTAGTTCAATGCCTGCATCAGCAAGTGCTGAAGAACAGTCGTCAAATTCAAATAATGTTACATCCAATGCAAACCAGGCCAATGGTAATGGTCCCCATCGGTTCAAGGTGGTCAAGGTTGCCACCGAACCGATTAGAAAAGGGAGATGGACATGTAGGGACTTTCCAACGGAAACGGCCAAAAGTCAAACAACTCCCGAAGGCTTACGAAATCAAGACTCGAATAAAGAAACGTTAGTGCATTCTGGCAATTCAAGTGCTGCAAGTTCTGTTCATTATATTCATGGTCAAGACAATTCCGAAAATCCGCTCTTGCAAGTTGACGAGAGCGGGAAGCCTACCGAGTTGAGTAGGAAATTCAGCACTAATAGTTTGAAAGACATGAGAAACCATAGCGATACTGGAATAGATAATGACCAAAAGGATGATAGGCTTGGTCTGGATCAGTTAAAGGATGGATTACTGGAGCATGCATCGGAATCCACAGAAGGAGACGACGGGTAAGAACATAATCTCATAAGTTAAACAATATTAATTATACCTAAGGTGACTTTAAATAAGGGCTTTATTTGTACATGAAATGATGAAGTGTTTAACTCACAAATACATGTAAAATAATCATCTTTACCAGGTCTCCACACCAACTATTTTGGAAGGAGGTTTGATTTGAATCTTTAAAAGTCTTAATGCACAAGCTCTTTATAAGATTTTTACAATTTGGGGGGGGGGGGCAGGATTGTGGTGGTGTCGAGCTCTGTCTTTACCATTCAGTTTCAGGGAATATTTTCAGACCAATAGTAAGACTAAGAGGGTTTTTTTTTTTTTTTTCTTCTTCAGCGTCAGAATTGTTGATAATGTTATGTTAGCTATTATTTTTTTCATTTGGGCACAATCTATTTATCATTACTAAAATTTATACCATAAGTTTTTATAAGTTGTCATCTTTTTTTTTCTACAGTTGAATATGAATTTACTTTTTTTTTTCCATTAATTGCAAACGTTTATTATATGTATTTTCATTGATTTTTGTTTTTATATTTTTATACTTTGATATAATATATGAATATACATGTATGCATGTACATGTGTAAGTGCTTTTATTTGTATTTTTTTCTATAATATGCTCTTATTCTCATAGCGTCTCCTAATTTATATCATGATGTAAGATTGTAAGGCACGTCGTGGGCTACAAGTTCATGTAACTAGTTCATACATGACTCCTACATGCATCGCTTTCAGTTCTGTATCATCAGCACACTTTAAAAAAAAGAGGTGGCAGAAAAGGATTTGTTGTGGTAAATTGAAGAGATTAACAGTTGGTAGTGTGTGTTCCTCTCAAATAGAACATGTCTACTTTGCTTCTTCCTTTTGATTGTGATGTGAGGAAATAGCTGTGATAGCATTACCTCTGAGCGGAAGTAAAGAAGGACGTTTTCATTCAGACTTCAACGAAAAAATCTAGTCTACGACAAGATATGGTGACACTGGAAATTTCTTATGAATATTAAATGACAGCGATGCACAGAGTTCTACATTTTACTTCTACATGTATCTTTCTTCCAGGGTGAAAGTGGCCAATGATTGTAAAAGAAAAAGAATCAGTGTTGATCTGATGACTTTTCTTTGAGTGATAAGATCACAGGATGTCTATCTCTTTTTTTTCTTCTTTCTTTCAAATATCTTATCCCTATCAAGGTACATGTAATTGAAATCTGTGTTATGATCAAGAATACTTCTGTTGTTGGTTTATTGGATTAGTTTTCATGGCACTTATCATTCAGTTTTGAATATGTAGGATGGCTTTGAGTGAGATACAGGAATACATTGCTCACACAAAAACAAAGCCATACAATATTAATTATTATATCAAGCTGACTAGCGTAATAACAAAATTTCACTTTCCTTGGTTAATCTGGCTTTGTTTTCGTGTGATATCGATAGTTGAAGTTCCCGTATGACTGAACAATACAACAACAATATTGATCAGTCAGCCAGGTACTGCGCTAAAGATATTACATACACTGATTTATTGTACCACTTGGAACTTTGGAAGCCTCATATACCGTACTTATATGAATTTGACGATAACCTTCTGTAAAGTTGATGACCATTAACAAAATATCTGTCTCTCCCTTTTCATCTCATGATCAATTTAAATACACTTACAGTAGTGTATTTTCTGTCAATTAAGGTTCTTACAGTATCATATGATATATAATTTACATGCAGCATTGTTTCTAATGCACTCACTTCTCTGTAATGAATTATTTTCTGAAATTATCACTGAGCAATAACTGCAGACCTTCACACAGGTAATAAATTGATGAATTACATGTACAATGTAGTATAATTTTGGATGTCTTCATGGTACAGTAGCTTTCTAGACTAAAGTAATATATTTTCAGTATGTTACAAATTACAAGCACCGGTGTACTGTACCTCTTTCAAATGTGTAGGAATAATTAACAAAATGATTGTGCAGACTGCTCTTCAATTATTATTGATTTGAAACTGATCCTTTTTTAATCCTTGTATAATCCTTGTATAATTTTGGATGCCGTAATATTGAAAACGTATCTCACTGTAACTGTCCAGTAGCTTTCTAGACTAAAGTAATGTTACATTTCAGTGTGTTACAACTTACAAGCCCCAGTGTACTGTACCTCTTTCAAATGTGTAGGAATAATTACCAAAATGATTGTGCAGACTGCTCTTCAATTATTATTGATTTGAAACTGATCCTTTTTTAATCCTTGTATAATTTTGGATGCCATAATATTGAAAACGTATCTCACTGTAACTGTCCAGTAGCTTTCTAAACTAAAATAATGTGACATTTCAGTGTGTTACAACTTAATACGAGCACCAATGTACTGTACCTCTTTGAAATGTGCAGAACTAATTAACAAAATGATACTGCCCTTTATCTATTATTGATTTGAAACTGATCCTTTTTAAATTGGTTGTTTCTTCGAACATGTAAATTAACTTGTGTCCCATCAAATGACCAAAATATATTAGCATCCTGTACAACCAGGATTAAGGAAGTTTGCATGCATGTGCATACATTCTTGATTATCAAATATGGTGCTTTTTTTTCTGATTTCCTGATAAACTTTACGAGTGTCAGAGGAGGTGGCGATGGGATCTAGGCACCGGGGCTCCGGGGGCGTTCACACGAGAGGAAATTTATATGAAGCATTCATGTACATCAATAGAGAAGTATATAAAGAAACATATAAAGTGAACATGGGATCAGAATAGTTGTTCTGTAAATGAATGTGATTTAAAAATATAGTTTTTTATTTTGGATAGGGAACACCTGATATACATGTACTGTTCAACATGTACACCAGATGTCGAGTGTCATGGTCATTGGTCATCTACAGCTTGCCAGTCATATCGACACGTGCTCATAATGAGCCCTGTCCAGTAATATTCTTTCCTTTCAAGATATTGTTTACCTAATTCTGACAGGCTTTCATGTGAAATAACATGTAGATGCTTAAAGTCTCAGCCTTTTGTTTTGCTATAAGTTGTTTAAATTTCATGTTCAGACAATAAAGAATTAATTTCGTATCGTTACAGTACATGAACTTTGCATTAAGTTTTAATTATCTGAATGCAACTTGTCTGATGAGGGGATTTTTTTCTCCAACAGGATTGACATTCAGATAAGACAGATTTATGTGTAAGCTAGACAGTTATTGTATACTGAAGCTATGCAGTTGTTGTATTTTGTATACCATAAATATTAAGTTTCTGCTGGTGTGAAGTGGGAGGGAGGGGGGGGGGGGTTAACATGATTGTGTACATTCAGATAAGACACATTTATTGCTACATGTACATCTCTTGTAAGCTGCAGAGTGCAGGCTATGCGTTTTTTTTTACACGTAAATGAAGCATACCATAAATCATGTTTCTGCTAACTACATGTACATGTACATTTACATTTAGTGTAAAAGAGGGGGGGGGGGGGGGTGTGCCTGTGTGGTGTATTTTGCCAACAGGATTACATACACTCTGTCCTTCCAGGAAACAATCGCATGCCTGGTTTCATGCCGAAAGAAACATGAGAAAGGATAAGAGGTATAGGGTTTAAGAAATCAAATAGGTTGAGGTGCGGAACGTCATCCCGTGGTCGGAGAAGACATGACAGTCGATCTCAACATGCTGGTAAGCACGGGTTCTAGTACGGGGGGGGGGGGGGTAAGGGACAGATTGTTTTCATTCACGTAACATCTTTCTGCATCATTCTTTTATATATAATGCATAAAGTATTCTGTGCTGTAATAAAAACATATTCCAGGAGCGGACAGTAACAGCAGTCTCATGTCTAGGCCCTGTTTTTTAAAGCAATAACAAGATACAATCATTGTTAAAGGCATCATTTAACAATTTTAAATCTGAGATGAATGGCCTATCAGTATCTGTGATATGGGGTTACATGTATATTGAAGCCCTAAAAAAAATTCCGCTTCAAAATGATCAAGATGTGCCTCAAAAATTAAAAATCTTTGAGTGACCGGTTTTACCATACTCGTTTTCCCCAATAGACTGCAGTGTTATGAAAGAAGAAGAAAACATTAAGAAAATGCAAAATTTGATTTCGATTTCCAATCATGAATATCTTGATAATCAGACAGGTGATTGGCTTGTGAAGGTCATGGGATTCCTGACTGACCTAAAGGTTTATAATTATCATTGCAGCATGAGCTAAATCCAGGGTTTTGTTTCAGAATCTGAGACAAAGTTACAGGATCCCTTAAAAGCTACTGAAATCCTTACATTGATTTGCTAGGAGTAGGAGTTGATATGTCATAGTTGTGTAGATCTGTCATCTGTGGCAGTTGTTACTTGTTTAATTGATAGCAAGGGCCCTGGTACATGTGTGCTTTGAAAATGATATCACTCCAAACACATCAAGTTTTAACCCTTTGCCCGTCTTGGTTGACAAAATTATGGAACAATCAGTGGACTGCCATAGTAGACCTTTGTCACACTTACAACATGAGTGGAACATACATGTACATGTACTGTGTACATTCCAAATAATATGGCAGACTACATAGTGTACATGTGCGTTCAGGGCTTTGTTTCACAGCATGTAAAGAATCAATATGGGCAATTTCCACTTCTTGAACCCATACATGTACAATTCAAATCCAAAATATTATTTTTATGCAGTTTTGTACATGTACGATGGTTTAAACTATCCTGCAGTTGTTTTAGAATGCCAGGGTACTGAAATCTTTGTGACTAAGTTGCCAAGAAGAGAGATCTACTTGTCCCACTTTCCCCACTTTTCATATATATTTTTATAAAATAGAAAAGATTTGAATCAAGTAGAGTAAGACTATCATATTGTGTCTGGTGATGCTTTGACTTTGGTATTGATGCCACATTTAGTTCAAGGGCTATAGTAAAAGTAGTCTATACTCCAGGCAGGGCGTCCACACTGTGCATGTACTCCACATTGGAGACATACTGACCACTTTGGGTCCAGTTTGTCAAGTTTATGACATTCATTTGTATCTTGCCTCATACCCAAGTAC